AGAAACTCAGACACACCCAAATCTGACATGCTACACTATTGGTTAGAGTCTGACTATAAAGGAGAACATACTATTTTTCCTGAGATTATGAGATTATTCAGTCTATGTCCATCTATTTTGCTGCAAATTTTGTGATTACATTTTGTGTCTACAGGCTTTTAAAGGAATTTACCTGTGTGTTCAATGTATTTAAGACACACTCTGGGGTGGTGAGATGGCTCTGTGAGTGAAGGCATCTGTCACCAATCCATATGACCTAAGTTTGATCCCTAGGACCCACATGGCAGAAGGAGTGAAATGACTCCCTCAAGGTGTTCTCTGACCTCCACACCCATGCTTTGGTGCACCCCACCTCCCATATGTGATAGAAACTTCACTGAAGCAAAGTTTTCTTTATGTGACTTTTGTACATTTCCTGGGTTTTCCTCTACTATTTCAGGTAAGTAGAAGTTTTCTTTCAAAATAGCTGTTAACCACTTAATAGTTGCATGTGGAGAGACTGTTTATTTATACTAATTTTATATACTGCTATCTTATAAAAGTGTTGTGCTAATGGTGTTTTCTATCACTGAGTCTTTAACATACACAATCAGCTATAACTAGAAATCATTCTATTTCCTTGTTTCAAATTATACCTCCAAATGCTGGTCTTAATTAGATTGCCTAGTACTCCTGGTATTTCACTCCTGATTTTAGTGGAAATACCTAGTGCTTTGCCATCAAAAGAGATATTAGCTTCGGCGCTAACTGAGTGAGCATAATTATGCGAAAGAAAAACAAATTCATTCATTTTTATTCTGTTGAGCATTTAAAAAATAAGTCATGGTTATAGTTTCGTTTTAGGTTTTATCATAATAAAAAGAAATGAACATTGCTTCAAAATACAGATGTAATATTTAATATTAAGGGATTTGTTGGTTTTTAAATCTTTCTCAACATCCTGGAATGAACCTTACCTTATCATTGCATGTTTTTTTAATATGTTCCTGAGTCTGTGTAAAAATGTCTGCTTTTGTTTTTTTTTAAGAATTTTCCTCTCATTATATTGAAGAAAGATTTAAATGTGATTTTCTTTTATTGTTTATAACCTTAATCATTTTTGTATTAATTTCCAGTTCATGGAATTAATTAGGAAAATTTCCTCTATGCTTACATTGGTAGATTTTAAGCAACAGAGAAATGCCTGTTATTTTAAAGGTCTTGGTCCCTTGGGAAGTCATCCAGGCTTGCCATCTCTTTGTTGTGATCAGGGGTTGTTGGAAAGGTATGCCCACTGTGCCTCAGCCCCAGAACTAGCTGTCTTGGGTGACTGTGGAGTAGAAAATAGGAATTAGATTCCAGGGGTAACAATCTCAAAGGCAGATGGGGGTAAGGGGTGAGTAGTGTCCTTTAACAATACACTTGTTAGTGTAAGGATTCACATTGACAAAGAGTATTTGCTTCACCAAATTTGAGCAGACCGTGAATCTTCTAAACTCATCTGTGAAACCCGGTGTTACCCAAGAACCTCCTCCCTAGTCGGTCCATGTCACACTGCTCGTCTGTCCTGTCTCCTCCACTGTCACCTGCAACAGTCCTGCCACACCAGTTTAAGAGGAACCTTTATCAGGTTTTTTGTAGATGTAGTTACCCATGTTGGGCACCAGTGGTGGCGCATTTATGCAAGGCAGGGTTTCTCTGTGCAGCCCTGGCTGTCCTGGAACTCACTCTGTAGATCAGGCTGGTCTTGAACTCAGAGATCTGCCTGCCTGGATCTGATCTGGAATGCTGGATTAAAGGTGGTAGCCACCACTGACCAGCTAGGCAAGTACTTGTTGCCCCTTCATAGGCAAATATGAAATCCCCCCCCCCCAGCACCTACACACCCCCTGCAGCTAGCTGCATGAAGGCTAAGGAGACATACATAGTCCTCTGTCCAATAGTCAGGAGAGACAAAAACAGCACAGGGCTCATGTTAGATCTTTCAACATGAAATTAGAGTCAGCCCATGAGGGGCCTCAGAGGGTCACATTTTGCTCTAGAATCTTTTAAGAGGGTTATTATCTCTTTTTATGCATGTGACCGTGTGAGCATATACCACATGTGATGTGGGAGTGTCATATATCAATCTGTTGAATTCATTGGTTAAGTAATAAACAAACTGCTTGGCTCATAGCTTAGAACATAGGTGAGTGGAGTAAACAGAACAGAATGCTGAGAGGAAGAGGAAGTGAGCTCAGAGACTTGACAGCTCTGCTCTCTGGAGAGGAGAGACGCCATGCCCCGCTCCCAGGCAGACGCATGCGATGAAGCTCCGACCCAGGATGGACGTAGGCTAGAATCTTCCTGGTAAGATCGGTGCCCACAGATTATTAGAGATGGGTTGATCGGGATATCAGAATTAGCCAGTAAGGGCTAGAACTAAAGGGCCAAGCAGTGTTTAAAAGAATACAGTTTCAGTGTAATTATTTCGGGTAAAGCTAGCCGTGGGGGCGGCCGGGTGCCGGGGACGCAGCCCCGCCACTCCTATTTCAACACACATGTGTGCAGGTGCCTGCAGAGGCCAAAAGAGGGCATTTGATACCTTAGAGCTGAACATACAAGCAGTTGTGAGCCTTCTGAAACAGGTGCTAGGAACCAGCCTCTGGTTTCTGGAAAGAGTAGCACAAGCTCTTAACTGCTGAGCCCTGCCTCCAGCCACAGCAGAGAAGTCTTTAAAACATTTTCACATATATGTCTGTATGTATGTGTATGTGCGGGTGATCGAGTTATAGGGATGATGGTACACACATGCCACAAGCTGAGTCTGGAGGACAAGCCGTGGGCGTCAGTTCTCTTCTTCCACCATGTGGGTCCCAGTGATCCCACTCAGCTGGTCATACTTGGTGGTGCTCACCCGTAACTTCTGAACTATCTCTCTGGGACAAGAAGAAGTCTTAAAAACTTTTCTTTTTTAAAACCAACTCTTAATATTTTGCATTTCTCAAATGGGGGCCAATCACATTTCTTTGGCTTCTACCCACACCATTATACAAAGCAGTCTGTTAGTTTTTGTAACCATTGTCTGTGTATTCCTCCTACCTGCCTTTGTGTCTGGGGTTCACCTGCCTGGGTAACCAAGTTTGGCAGCACTCACCTTGTCTAGTCCCAGCATCTTACCCTGGACACATATTTAATCGTACTGTTACTTCGGATGTTAAAAAGTAGCCAGGTGGTGATGGTGCACACCTTTATTCCCAGTACTCAGGAGGCAGAGGCAAACAGATCTCTGTGAGCTCAAGGCCACATGGTCTACAGATCAAGTTCCAGAATAGCCAGGGTTACACAGAGAAACCCTGTCTTGAAAAATCAAAACAACAACAAAACATGGTGGGGATACGTTTTTATGTGAGCCTGGAAGGCTGGACTTGAATGGGTGTGGAGAAGGTGGTAAGGCAAACACTGTCTGAGGGTCAGGAGCGGGGGGCATAAGCAGGCATGGGTCACTGTGTAGATGTGCAGACCCAGGGAAGGGAAGAAACTGGTCTGAGATAGGGAACCCTGCATGCAGAGGAGGACAGAAGCCTAGATGCTGGGAAAGATTTGTACACTCAGTGGAATGAGCAGGACGTGGGGCTTTGGATGTCTCCCCGGTAGGAATGCAGATTCTCAGTACAGCATGGGGCATGGCCAATATAGCTTTGTCAAGAGCCTAGGCAGCAGGTAAGTGTGTCTGCTTCATTTCCTCTTCCTAAGCTTTACTGAGGCCAAACTTTTCCAACTAGTTGAAAGCTAACCAATAGTTGCTCACTCTTGTAACTTGAGAGCCCCACACTCGTCAGGCACTCAGGAGCTCTTAAATGAAGGAAAAGAGGGAGGGAGAAAAGAAAGATGCTGCTTTTGTTTCACTTCTGTTGCTGCTGCCCTGACAGAAAGCAACTTAGAGGAGAGAGAGTTTATCTTAGCTCGCAATGCCAGGTAACCATCTGTTACTGTGGCAGAGCCAAGGTGGCAGGAACTTGGAGCATCTGTTGACATCATGTCCACAGTTAGGAGCAGAGGGAAGTGAATGCATGCATGTCTAATACTTGGCTAGCTCTCTGCTCTTACACAGTCCAGGGCCCAAGACCAGGGAATGGGGCCACCACTTTTGGGCTTGGTCTTCCCACCATCAATTAAGGCAATCAGCATATTCTTCCACAGACACGCCCACAGGCCAACTTTACCTAGACAATCCCTCACTGAGACTCTCTTCCCTGGTGATTCTAGATTGGGTCAGTTGAGAAACATAACCCAAATAGATATAGGTCAACAATTGGGCCTAGAGAGTAGCTAAGAGCCTTAGGTAAGCATGGTTAATGCCTTTTCCTGGTCACCTCTGGGGCTTACTCTTCTATACTTCAAGTCTTATGGGGTCAGCAACTTGCAGGAAAACTTACTTTAGTACTCTCTGCTGATTCTCTTGCATTAGGGAAGCTGACCCCAAATGCAAGTAAAGACAAAGCTGTATAATAACAGCACAAAAGGAGTAAGAGCTGAGAGGGCCTTGTGGAAGAGAGAGCTGCTGTTTGTCCAGGGCCTTTGTCTCGCCTGTGAATTGTCCCTAGTCACTGGAGTCTAAATCCAGCGATGGTTCTGTAAACGCCCAAACCTAAGTTTCTCCCGTGGCTGCACATTCTTCAACAGCACGCTGTCAGGAGGGCCTGACTCATCAGAAATAGTTCCCCAGAATCCTATGCATCACCTAGACACCCTTGAATGCTTTAGATAAAAGCTGACGTTTCAGAATGTGCATCAAGATAATGTAAAAGCTACAGATTGGCTACGAGTCACCCAAGCTGTATAACGCTAACCACACAGTTTGTTTATTTTTCACCGTGTTTCCTTCACCGCCTTTTTTTGTGGCTCACTCTATACAGCTTGTGTACTTGCTATAAGAACATTATCAGTTTCGATGCTGCTCTGCCCTTACTCAGTTTTTCCGAGACCCTCTTCTCTCAGGCTTCGCTTTTCCTCACACCTGCAGTGGGCCAGTTTTCAGTCAGAGGAGAGGCCACATCTGCTTCCTGTGGGCCCTCTGGTCAGAAGCATGCATGGCTGGCTGCTCCTGATCTGGGTCCAGGGGCTAACACTGGCTGCCTTCCTCACTTCAGGTATGGCCTGCATGCCCAGCAGAGCAGGGAGGTGGGCTTGGCACAGAGACCAGGGTTCTTGGGTAGAGGAGGCTCTGAGTACAGGCCACACGCATGTATGTCGGGTGGTTCTGTGGTCCTCTGTGACCACGTGGGAAGAGGCAGGCACTGGGAAGGGGATGCAGATGTGTTTGGGATCACAGGGGATAGTCTTTATAGGTCCTCTGGGTTGGGACCCTGATTGGCCAGCTGTACATGAAAGGAGGCTGGGGAGTGGATGAAGGTGGATGCCGAGAAGTCTCCTGAAAGCCCACTCCTTTCCCCCTCCATCTTCCTTTCTCTTTCTGAGGAACTTCTAGAAATATATTCCAGCTGGTTTTCTGTTGATCAGATATACCTGCTTCCCAGACTTTCGGGGTCTCCCATTGATACCACTGGCTAAATTCTGTTGTGTTTCTATTGTATTAGACACTTCAGAGAAACATAAAATATTTAAAGATTATACAGCAACGTAGTTTAAAGACTGAACCTAGAACATTCTGAGGGTAGAGAGGAGCTGGGGTAGGGGATGGGGCGGGTGACGAAGATGCTTTCCTCTGGGAGAAGTCTTGTCATGTCCTGCTCTGCCCTCTCCTGCCCTCTCCTCTCTTCTCCCCTGCCCTCTCCTCTCTTCTCCCCTGCCCTCTCCTCTCTTCTCCCCTGCCCTCTCCTCTCTTCTCCCCTGCCCTCTCCTCCCTTCTCTTTCCCTCTTCTCTCCCCTCCCCTCCTCTCTTCCCTTCTCCCCTGCCCTCTCCTCTCTTCTCCCCTGCCCTCTCCTCTCTTCTCCCCTGCCCTCTCCTCTCTTCTCCCCTGCCCTCTCCTCCCTTCTCTTTCCCTCTTCTCTCCCCTCCCCTCCTCTCTTCCCTTCTCCTCTGCTCACTTCTCCTCTTTCCTGTTCCCCCTTTCTTTCTTTTCTTTTCTTTCCCTGTTTCTGATCCCCCCCCCCCCCGTTACTTTGGTTTGTTTCTTTGACAGATACAGGGTCTCACTATATTCCTAAAGCTAGTCTGGAACTTACTATGTAGTCCAGACTGGCCTGGGACTCACTATGATCCTCCTGCCTCAGCCTTCCATGTGCTGAGATTAAAAGCAACTACTACTACCTGTGGCTGAGCAGCAGGGTTTCTTGCCATGTCTCTTTTGCCCAGGATTTTTTTTTCCCTTTCTCTCTTGAAGGTTTTTCCTGACATTCCAAATGGCAATCAAGTAGCCCAGTTTTATTTCAAAGGATAGGACCAGACACAAGACTAGATTGCTGGAAACTAGAGAAGCAGAAGATTCATAGTACATGGCAGATATTCTAGGTGGGAAGACTAGATAAACTTATGAAAGAAATCAAGCACCTAGCCAAGAAGCTGCACAGAGTACCCTGAGCAGGCAAGGTGCAGAGCCATGTGGTACACCAGGCATTTAAGGTGTTATACAACACGGGTGAGAAAGGCTGTCTCATAAGTTGGGGTCCTCACGGATGGAGGGGCACAGTCCTGACAAACAGGTAAGAATGAGACAGAGTGAGGCAGAAGTTCTGGCAGTAGCAGTGACAGACTGGAATTGGGTACACGGAAAAGGGCAAGAAGATTGGGTAGGACTTGGAGCCTGACGGACAGGTATAGTAAGGAAAGTCTCTGGAAATGAAGGAAAGAGGAAGTGAAGATAGTCTCCATAGGCTAGACTTTGGCTTCTAGAGCCACTTCCGGCCTTTGAACACCCTGGGATTCCTCAGGAAGGTTGAACGGCTGATGCTGGCTAGAGACTCACGTGTGCTTCTTCCTCTCCCATAGGAGCCACAAAAGGCACACTACAGACAAAGGGGAACATTTCTGCTGAGGAAGGTAGCTCTGTCATCTTACAGTGTCACTTCATCTCCAGCACAGCTGAAGTAACCCAAGTCAACTGGGAGCAGCGGGACCAGATTCTAGCTGTTTATAGTGTTGACCGGGGATGGCATGTCCCTTCGGTCTTCAGTGAGCGGGTGGTCCCAGGCCCCAGCCGAGGCCTCACCTTCCGGTCGCTGACAATGAATGACACAGGGGAGTACTTCTGCACCTACCACACCTATCCTGATGGGATTTACAAGGGGAGAATATTCCTGAACGTCCAAGAAAGCTCAGGTATGTTCTTTGAAGCAGGGAGACAATGAACCACTTTCTTTCACATAGAAAACTCCATCCTGAGACATTCTGGGAAGCTGGAACATATCAAACTCACTGGAGGAACTTTTGGGGTCTTGTAAGGATAGGGCAACTCTAGCTAATGAAATCAGAGCCTCTTGGGGGCAGAGCTAGCATCTGATATGTTCTGGAAACACCCAGCTGATTCTCATGCACAACCACTGATTTTGCACACAAATACATCTTATCTAAACTGACAAGACCCTTGGATGAGGTTATCCATGAAAGGTGATCATTTAATGATGAGTATACAGAATAGCTCTCAAGTCACAGCCCATGCTGAGTATGAATGTGTAACACTCATCCACCTTTGTATGATGAAGCTTCAAAGCTTCCAAATGTTCTTGTAATGATCATTTTCGGGCAAACATGAGATAGTTTTACTGAAGGAAAGTATTATTAAAATCACATCTGAGAGATAGTTTAGCAGGGTAATAAAGTGCTCTGCCTCGGACGTCAGGCAACTTGGGTTCAAACCTTGCTGTTGGCCTCAGACAGGAATTTAATTCCTCTGTGCAACCCTTTTCTCATCTGTGCAGAAGGATGGTGCTAAGGCTTTCGAGGTGCTAATGGGGGGGTTGAACAACCTACTGTAAGAAAAAGCCCCTAGCCCAGCTCCAGGAACACAGCAAGTACCGTGGTAGGTGTTGACCATGAGTATGATTCCCATATGATTGATGGCGGCAGAAGCTAAGGTTTGGAACTGTTCAGGGTGGCAAAGCTGATGTTAACACAGACGTTCAGGCTTCATGGCATGTCACACTCAGAACTGCTCACTGTTGGCTATACTGGAGTTTAGGTTAAGAACATGTGTGCATTGAAATTATGTTGCAATTTAGGTGTCATGAGTCTTAAGAACATTGTGGACATTGAAGTGATAGAAGTTCACCTTAAAGTTTCCTTTCAAACATCACTTCTTGGCTGGCTCCATCATAGATTAAATACAGTGAGTAGTCAAGAGCCCAGGTTCTAGAATCACACCACCTGGGACTAAAAGTTGTCATGTATCCTGGATAACTGTGGTACTTAAATTTTCTTGCATTGCTATCCTATGATAAATGGCGAATCATCTCATGAGTTGTTACAAATGAGGTCTTGGGACAGTGCTGTGCATTGCACTTGTTCAGGGCAGGCTTGGAAAATAAAGACCACAGGAGATCTAGGTCGCAGTAAGCATGTGCGGGCCGTGACAACTGTGGGCTCTTTACCCCTGTATTATATTTCCCAGAGCCTCTCTCACCACACTGCAGGACCGTCTTGCTTCTCAGGAAGTCGGTTGATTACATTAAGGCAATGAACCCTCCTTTAATTGTCTCCATCAGCTCCATCCCTGTCCTCCTACTTACACTGATCTCACTGGACCGAAGCCCCTGGTAACCTGGTATTACATAAACTGTTGTCTAACCAGAGTTGGAGATGTAGCTCAACAGTAGAGTGGTTGGCTAGGATGCATGAGGCCCTGGGTTCAATCCCTGGTGCCACAAGTAATGCCAAATCGCTAACGTAGATTACATGCCCCCCCACACAGCTGCACGCTGGCAGGCTGTCCTGACTGCCCTGAGGCTCTTTCAGTTTCTTTTTTTCAGAAACCGTGGCTCTGGATAGAAGAGTTAAGGGCTTTCGTTTTAAACCAAAAATTACTAGTTTAGTTGGCGTTTTAATATTCTAAATTCAGTCTGCTTTAACCAGACTTAACTCAGTCACCTTTAAATTTGACCACAAGCATTATCATAACCTTCCCTAAAATTTCATGATGTGTTTAGCTGCTCCTTGTTTCACCATTCAGCTTGAGGAGAGCCCTTACTAACCCCACCTTGCAGAGTGGCTCTGCCCTCCTCTTCTGTCCACACTCTCCTTCCAGGCCCTCTGCACCCCTGCAGCGTCCAGACCATGGTCTTCCATCCCCTTTCTTCCTGAGTGAGCCATGGACATGTCCACCGAGGGGCCAGCCTGGCCTCCACTGACTAAGTCCTCAGAGCAGGAGGAGTATGCTGGGGCCTTGGACTTGGCAGAGATCAGATGACACGGCCTCCTTTCCTACAATCAAAACTTGGAGTTCAGGGAAGTGGGGCCAGGCCTTTTCTTGTTTCAAGTCTTCCCAGGACTCTGGGGGTCCTGCCTGAGTCCTGGAGAAGAGGGAAAGGTGGAGAAAGTGCCCTAGAAACCATTCCTTGATGTATCCCAGCATCTACCGTGTACTAAGAACTGAGAAAACAGCAGAGAGTAAGGTTGCAAGAGACTCGCTTCTTCTGGGGTTTCAGACCTGGGCTATAGGGCTAAGGTGAAAAGTTACATGCTTTTTCTTTCCGTAGTTTGGTTTCAATTTTGAATTAGTCAGTTTTAACACTATGGATGTGTGTGTGAATTATGGATGAAACAATTCACTTTCTGAGTTTTCTTTTGTTTTTATTTTATTGTAGATTTGATATTTGTTTATTTATACGTATGGTGTCTTGACCGCATATACACCTATGCAACATCTGGTTCTGGTGTCTGTGTAATGATTTCAGCCACATAAGGCTGATACTTCTGGGTTCTAGAGCCACGCATGTGCAGACAAGCCCTCAGGCAGAAGTGCCTGAATGTTAAAGGGCTCCACGTGACACACTTGTGTGCATGCGTGGCTACGTCCACAATGACTCAGCTAAGCCCTTGTGCGCATGCGTAACCTGTCATCTGCTTCATCTGCAAGTGACACGCCAACCCCCTGTGTGCATGTGCTCTATCTATCTATCTATCTATCTATCTATCATCTATCTATCATCTATCTATCTATCTATCATCTATCTATCTATCATCTATCTATCATCTATCTATCTATCATCTATCTATCATCTATCTATCTATCATCTATCTATCTCTCTATCATCTATCTATCTATCTATCTATCTATCTATCTATCTATCTATCTATCATCTATCTATCTATCATCTATCTATCTATCATCTATCTATCTATCATCTATCTATCTATCATCTATCTATCTATCATCTATCTATCTATCATCTATCTATCTATCATCTATCTATCTATCTATCTATCTATCTCTCTATCTCTCTATCATCTATCTATCATCTATCTATCTATCTATCATCTATCTATCATCTATCTATCTATCTATCTATCTATCTATCTATCTATCTATCATCTATCTCTTTCTCTCTTTGCACACCGATTCCCCAGGCCAGTATACCCCCCCTCTAATAAACACCTAAGTAGGTTTGTTGCGTGTTCCACGTGTTTCCTTCTCACTTGCACCAGGTAATCTCAGTCTGGAGGCCAGAAGAAGAATTTGGATACCCTGGGACTGTGGTGGGGGGCTTGAGTACCAGCCTCAGTACCCCCTCAGGGCTCAGAATTGTATGTCTCTGGCAGGCTAGGATCTAAGGGTAAAAAAATGAACTCAAGTACATTACCTCTGCATCTTCTTTATTTTTCATGCAAGAGGAAAAATGAAGTGAAGTGAAGGAGAGGAAGAATAAGAAGAGTAAGGGGAAGAAGTAGAAGTAGCGAGAAGAAGAGTAAGGGCTGATCTCCAGAGGTTTCTAGTTTTTACAGACGTAGTTGCAAAATTCCATAGGCAAGGACAATGATAATATGTATATCAAAATCACAAGGAGGGGCAGGTAGAACCTGACAGAGTAGTACTCGGGAACAAGTGGCCTGGCCCAGGGAAAGGCCAGCATTCAAGGGGAAGAATCTGACAATCCAAAACATTAGATAAAGTTACTAAACGTCCCTGAGTCCTGGACTCACCCAGTCTCCTCAAATAATCTCTTTTGTGATAACCAGCTTTGGGGGCGCCCAGATTTGTTTGTTAGCAAAGGTGGGGCATGCTGTTTTGCTGTTCAGTCCTGTCTTCTATAGAAATTCTATGTGGTCTGTTAGCAGGTGAGTGTGGGATTGACTCTATGTAAATTTGAATGTTAGAATAAAGAGTGAATGACTTCATTCTCAGGCCTCAGGGTGTGTGTGAAGGGAGGGGGATGGAGCAAGGTCACTCACTGCTGAGGTGTTTTGGGAACAAATCCCATTTTGAAGGGAAGAATCGTGGCTTCACAAGGTTTTTTACAGATATGACAGTGACTTTTCCAAAAGACAAGTGTTCCTGCAGCTCTGCAAAACGGGTTATTCCATGTGGACATGGACTATACACTTCCTGTGGATCGGCCTATTGGTCTGTCAGCTGCGCACTCACTGTATATAGTCCTGTGGGCTCCAACAGGACTGGAGTTACAGACAGTTGTGAGCTAACATGTAGGTGCTGGGAATAAAGCCTGGGTCCTCACGAAGAGCAGCCAGTGCTCCTAACGGCTGAGCCATCTCTCCAGCCCGTCCCAGGTTTCCTTTTAGATGCTACTATTTGTTTCATTTCATGACTTCTGGAAACAAGTTGTTGACTAGGGGAAAGGATTCCACCAACTGGTCCAAGGTGTAAGCAAGGTGCCTCGCTCTTCGAGAGATCCGCCGACTCCACTGGGCACCTGGATGCTGCTCTGCTGACCGGAGTTACGGTTAAAGACACAAGCAGAGGACAGTTCTAAGAGCACCCCACCTCTGGCCTCGAACTCCATAAAGACCAGGCTGGCCTCAAATCAAAGGCCTGCCTGCCTCTTGCCTCTCAAGTGCTGAGATCAAAGGCATGCACCCCCACGACTGGCACTGGCTTTTGAGACAGCCCAGGCTTCCCCAGAGCCTTGCTCCTCACCTCCACCTCCATCACTCACCTCTGTTTCCTTTTCTCTGTAGGGCCTCAGTTCCAGATGGCATCACTTGGAGGAGCCATGGCTGCTGTGCTGGGAATCTTCTGCTTAATGATAGCAGGGGTGGCTGTAAGACGTAGACAGGTATGAGAGGACAGCCTGTCTCAGTCCCACCACGTCACCCCTATTCTTGCCCCCCTGGCGACTTCTGCTATTCTTTTAGTGGCTATATTAGGCATTACAAAACGTACCTGGATTTATTCAAGTTCTGTTATATTAGTAATAATCAGTCAATGACCTATAACTTTCAGGAATATGCAAGAGCCTTAGATCGTAGCAGCTCTTTTTACCGGTCTCCATCACATGGCTCCATCATCCCCTTGTTCTTTGGTCCGTTCTGCTTTTTAGACGCACAGATGTGATTGTTTTGTGCATCCACATGACTCTCGGGCCACCCCTCCTATAGCTCTCCTCTCCATTCTCCCTGTCAGGTCAGCAAAGGCAAAGAATTAATTTGACCGTTGTTGTTCACCTAAAACTTGTTTACCCATATCTGTAAATATAGTGCAGAAGAAGTAGAAGTACGAGAAGAAGAAGAGTAAGGGCTGATCTCCAGGTGTAGTCTTACTAGGTGTAGTAGAATCTTGTGTTGGCCAGTATTCTCTATTAGCACATGGAAAAATTATTCTATTGTCTAACTTCGTAAATTTTTCTTTTTTGGAAACTGGGTTTTATCCTTACTTCTTTAAAACTGCCTTTTCTCCTTGTTCTTTTAATATTTTCTGCCTTAAGATTTCAGCATTTGTACAAACGATATAATTAGATGTCATTATCTTTGTATTTATTCTGTATGGGGTTTGGATGGAGTGGGGTTTTTTTTTTTCAGTTGTGGTTTGATGGGTTTCTGTCAGTTTGGGGTCAATCCTGGCCATTTCTTGTTATCTATTTTTTCTCTATTCTTGCTTTCTTCTCCTTCTGGTCCTCTTGTGGCAGGGACTTTCGAGGCTCCCTTCTCTTCCATATGTCTGAGTCTCTTTTGTATTTTCTGCCCATTCATATCACCATGTTTTAGAGTGGGTCTTCTCTTCTAACTTACTTTTCAGATTACCAAATATCTCCTTTGATGTATCTAGTCATTGTTTAAATAGTATTCTGGGATGTACCTGACAATCCTGTTAATTACACCCTTCCTGGGCCTTTTTCTATTGTCTATTTTCATTCGATTATCAGTCATATGGTCTTCTCTTGCCCGGTAGTTTTCATGTGTGCTGGACATTCTCCATGGAAAGCTGCAGCATCTTCTTCCCTGCAGCCCCTTGTAGCCAGTATGTGACGATTTTCACGTGTTAGCAGTCCCAGGTTACCTGAATTAAATTAGCAATGGCAGGCTGCAATCCGTTCCTTATTGCTGTGACAAAGTGTCCCCTGGAAGCAGCTTAAGGAAGGCAGGGAGTATTTTGGTTCATGGTTTGGAGGTCGACTTAGTTAGGGTTTATTGCTGTGAAGAGACACCATGACCATGGCAACTCTTATAAAGGAAAGCATTTAACTGGGACTGGCTTACAGTTCGGAGGTTTACTTGTGGCAGGAAGCATGGTGGCTTGCAGGTAGACATGTTGCTGGAGATTGATCTGAGAGTTCTCCGTCTGGATGCACAGGCAGCAGGAAGAAAGTGCCGCACTGAGCCTGGCTTGAGCATCTGAGACCTCAAACCCACTCCCAGCAACACAATTCCTTTAACAAAGCCACACCTACTCCAACAAGGCTACACCTCCTAACAGTGCTACTCCCTATATCCTATGGGGGCGATTTTCTTTCAAACACCACAGAGGTATAGTCCACGATGGTGGGGAAGGTGCGGGTCCCAGCAGGAGTGTGAGGTGCCTGGATACAGTCAGGAAGCAAACACAGATGAATGCTGGAATTTCATTCCCTTTCTCATTTTTATCTGACCCAGGACCCTCCACCACAGGGATGGCATGGAAATAGAATAACATAGAAAAGACCAATTCTTAGAAATTGATTTATTGACTTAGTGATTTACTTAATTTATTATGCCAACCATGGCATCCCTTGCTATCTGGAGCAGAACAGCTTAGAGAAATAGCTAAAACAATGTATCATTGCCCTTAACAACCTACTGACTACCTCATACTTCTGTAAAACCTTGCTTGCTTTCCCACCCCGCCTTGTGGTTTTAGAGTATAAAAAGAGAATACAAACTGGACCCAGTACCCTGCCTTAAGGAGCTACCCTGGCTTCAGTCCCTGCTGACCCCTCCTCTCTTCCATTCCCACTGCTGACAAATGCTTTTTCTAGGAAAGATTCCCGGAACTGTGCGGTCCACACTCAGGGCAGGGCCTCCCAACTCACTACAGCATAGAGGCACCCAAAAGTCTATCTAAATCCCATCCAATTAACAATGAAGGTTAACTGTCCCTGAGGCCTTGGGACTGGATTTCAATTCCCACCACTCCTCACTCCCAGGGTGTTGCCTCTGAGAGTCAATGGAAAGAAAGGTGTTACAGAGCATCCTCTTCCACAAACACCCCTCCACGCCCTACCCCAGAGCATCCTCTTCCACAAACACACCTCCATGTCCTACCCCAGAGCAACTTCTTCCACAAACACTCCTCCAGGTCCTACCCACCATCCCTCCAAACCTGGGATCTCTCTATGTGACTCAGGCAAGCCTGGAATTTTATTCCTCCTGCCCTGCTTTCTAAGTGTTGGCATTACAGGCATGAGCCACCCAAATGTTTTTCTCCCCCTCTTGAGGTATTTTCTCCTGGAACTTGTTCCCAGTCCAAAAATCAACTTTAGATTGGCAGATATCTTATTTCTTCAAACATTTTCTGATATTCCATCTATTTTTCCTCTTTTCTTTCTTTTGTGTGTATACATATGTACTCAAGTTCAAATGTGGATATACAAACATGTATGTGCGGGTACTTGTGTGCGCGTGTGTGTGTGTGTGTGTGTGTGTGTAGAAGCCAGAAGGTGACAGAAGATATCTTCCTCAATTTCTCTCTATCTACCTTACATATTGAGGTAATGTCTTTCACTGGTCCAAGGAGTAGCTGTCTCTGCCTTGAAGTATTAGTGGTTGTGGGCAGGTCACCACATTCACCCCCCTCTGCGTCAATGTGGGAATCTGGACTTTACCTGCCATCTCTCCAGCCCTCATCTTTATTTATATCACTGTTTTCAAGTGACAGGTATGTTTAAATCAGCAGAGAACTTTCTGGTCTTGATGTTATATTTTGTATCTTCATTCTAAGATTGACTAAGAAGTTGAGACTGGTCTAGGATACCTTCTTGGTTTCTTGGTCCTGTTGGACCAAGTCTCCTGCTAAGTTTTATTCCCATCCCACCCCACCCCAAGTCCTGGCCAACATCCATCTTCTGTCTAACTGGTCCAGGCCTAGGGAGGGTTAGGTTAAGACTGAGCTAAGGAGGCAATGTTCTTAGACTCTGGTCCCTTTTCACCCTCTCTGTGAGTTCTTGGCCTCTCTTTTTCGCACTCAGAGGGAGACCACACTCTGTTTTTCTTTTCTTTCTAACTCACCTTTGACATTTTAATCCTATGAAGATCTTTCTTTGGACCACAGTTGGAATGAATTGTACAAGCTGCCCTTGTAACGGTCTCCTTGGATTTCATGGCTCTTCGTTGTAAAAAGTTGTGGGTCTACTCTCTTGCTGTGACCCCATTATACGTAGCTTTGAACTGTTATTACTTCTTCTTCTAGAGTATGCATCTTCATGCTTTTACTCATAAAACTGGGACTTTCACCTCATCTTTTCCAACTTAAGTTGTCAGGTTTCTGTGTAGATGAGCCTGCTGCCTCAGTACCAAGCACACAGGCAAAATAAATACATCTTGTTGGAGTTCACATACATACATATGTCTTCAAACCTGATCCACAAATAAAGAGAGGCCAGTCCAAGTGCTTCACCCTAACCTTCTTTAACTGGAGAGAGTGGAGTGAGGGTAGGAATGATGTCTTGGCAGCAGAAGCAAAGCTGTCACTCAGATCTGACACTCGGGTCTCCCCTTCTAGGCTCCTTGTAAATCTTGCTAACCTGATCACAAAGGAACTAGACAGACTCCAGACATTAGAAGTTCTGATTTCTCTGGGAAGTTAAATATGGCCTTTTATTATCATTCCCAATTTATCTGCAAAAATATTTGGTAAAGTATGATTCACCCTTTCACTTCCTGGTTATGGGATGAATGCCATGGCTGCGGCCCGACCTGATTCACAGAGATGTGACCACTGATCCTCTGTTACTCAGACCAGGCTGGACAGGGAGTCAAGGATTGGCAGTGGTTAAGCTGCAGCTACTGCTATGGCTTAAGCTGATTTTCCACACTATTTTTTGTTACATCATTGCTATCCTGACAGACATGATCATAAAATGAGAAGAGAGACTGAGGAAGGAGAAGTGATTCACAAGAGGGAAGAGGTAACAAGAGCCCTACCTTTGGGCTGGAACAGTGAGGGTGAGTGGTGAACAGATGTCTTCTGCCCTCATCAGCCTTCTTCAGTTTGGAATAAAGAATTAGTGACCCTGCTAACACAGCAGAACATATTTGTCTATTAAGGATGCAAGACTGGTTCATTTTCATGTCAGGTACCCAGACTAACTTTGGTAATAATGGAGACTGAGAAAGAGGAAAAGACCAGCAGGTCTCAGTTTCTGTTGCTTCCCTTGTACACTGTGCTACCCACCAACCCTCTGATACCCTCATTGTTGCCTGTCTAGATCCTGCTGTCATCTTGTAATTTGGATACAGTCTTGAGGGCTTGCTCTCTTCTTGTTCAAAATGTCATTCAATGTATGTTCAGGGAAAACATATGTATGTTCTGGAACTGGGTTGGTCACATATACTTTAATATGAACCTAGAAAGAACATACGGAAACCAAGATGGGGAAGGTAACCATGTGCTGTATTTGGGAGGAGAGGGTGACTGTTGGAACTTGGGAGGAGAGGATCACATGGAAGGGTCAGGTTGAGAAGTATTGTTTTTTTCAAGTGAGGGTCACAGTCAGTTCTAGGCCCATCATGCATGGACTGCAGGGAAATACATACCTTCTCACTCTCTGTTCCTCTATTCCCTTGTCATTCTGCATGGAAGACA